GACACTCTTTGAATTATATGACCATCAACATATAATCGTGCATCTTGATGTGCTAAACGGCTAAACACCATGTGTTTTGTTTTTGCACAGTTTTATGTTTAGGCCAAACTCTCTTCCCACTGTATCAATGGCATTTAAAAGGCATTGTAATCCATTCATGTCATCACTTAAAATAACTGTATCGTCTGCATATCTGATTGTATTTATCAGAATTCCATTAACTTTCACGAGCAATTCCAAATTATGCAGCGCTTCTTTAAATATTCTATCTGAATATAAATTAAACAGTGGGGATAGTATACAACCCTGTCTGACACCTCTTTGTATTTTACATATTTCTGTTGATTTTCCGTTTATGCAAGCTGTCGCTGTTTGACGCCAGTATAACTTTTCTATGAATCGTATGTCTTGACTATCAACTCATTTATCTTTTAATATTGTAATTAATTTGTGATGCTGTACTCGATCAAAGGCCTTTTCATAGTCAATGAATACATCAAAGACGTCTTTCCTTTGATCTCGACATTTCTGCAGTAATACATTTAGTGCAAAGAGGGCGTCCCGAGTTCCCAGTCCATTTCTGAAGCCAAATTGTATTTCATCCTGATCTTCTTCACATTTATCTCTGATTCTACTGTGGATGATGCGTAGAAATATTTTCAAAGTGTGGCTCATAAGACTTATTATTCTATAATCGCTACAGTTTTTCGGACGTTGTTTTTTTTGGTAGTGTTATGAATTCGGACTTTAACCAATCTTCAGGGATATCACCAGTCGAATAAACATCATTGAAAAGTTTGACCATTATTCCGATGTTCTCCTCATTTATAAGCTTTAATATCTCTGTCGGTATGTTATCAGGGCCAACGGCTTTCTTGTTCTTTGCTAACTTTATAGCATGCAGTATTTCTGATTTTGGTATTTCTGGTCCTTCACCTTCAACTAAAGTCTCCGATTCTTCGGGTATGTCATCATTATACAGTTCACTTATATAATTACACCAGGTTGTTCGAATTTCATGTTCGTCTATTATCATTTTTTCCCGACGAATCGGTTATAGTATGTGGAGTTTTCTTATGATAAAGACCAGCTACTTCTCTAACTTTTTTTAAACATATTAAACGTATCATGTTTTTCATTCAACTTTTCTAATTCCTTGCATTTATCCTCCATCCATTTTTCTTTAGCCACATTTATTTTTTGTTTAATTCGAGGTACCACTGTATTATATTTACATGTAAATTTCAAAACTTAGTATAATTCTAGACAAAGTACGAGTTTTTGTCATGCAAATTTTTGACTTTTGATTTTTCTCTAGGCTCGATTCCGTTCAACATGCGTGGTCTGTACGTACTTACTGTACGTACTATATAAATAATCATTATAACTTTTACGAAAATAGATGTGTGACTGTCAATCGTCTATTTTCTTGTTATTGACCTTATTTTGATTAATACCTCTTTAAGCAGCAACAATACGTTTGTAATCAGTTACACAATAGTGCGTGAGTCATTTTTGTTCAAATACAATGTCGTAAAAGCTTTTTAGTTATATATATAAAAAACGTATATGTAATTTGTCATGGCAATCTGTAAAACTGTAAAGAAAATAACAGTTACACAGACCGGAGGATAAGTATACATGATGTTAACATGTCGTGTTACTCGCTCTTTCTATTAAGCGTGTCTCCTATGAACAAAAACAATGGAGATCAACAAACACGAACAGGGTGTTTCATTAATAAAGACCCATTTCATAAAAAAATAATTGATTTATTTTTTAATATTAACTACTCCAACTATACAGAGTGGCCCAAAAGTCTGGAAACGGCTAATTATCTCGTAAATTACTAGACATAATTATACAAAATTTGAGATACGCCTATTTTGGGATACGGAGATTCCATATTTGATATTTGCAATGTTGCCAGATTTTCAGTTTCTCTTATATTACTAGTGACTTTGGTTTTTCAAATGCATCACCCTGTATATTCAGTCATTATTGGAATCTCCTATTAAATACGAGTTCAAACATATGTAACACTTATGATTTTATGTAGTCTGGAAGGTCTTAAATACATAAAACAGAAGTCTGGCAACGCCTAAATTGTTTCAATACATTTTTTAATACTATTTTCAAATACATTAAAACGTAACAATTGATAGTTTAGAATATTTTTTAACATAATAGTTACGTTATTAAGTATTCAAAATGTGCTCCATTTGTGAGTTGACAGCACTCTAATCGATGGTAGAATGCGTCTACCACATTTCTCCATGATTGTCTAGAAATTATTCGAGATTCATCGATAATTCATTGCCTTAGCTATGCAAGACTTGCTGGTTAAGTTTTGTAAACTGAATTTTTCAAGTATCTCTAATAAAAATAATCTTTAGGATTGAGATCGGGTGAACGTGGAGGCCATTCAATTCTACCTTGTCTACCAATTTATCGTCCGGGAAATATCTCATCTAAATAACATTTACACCGAACATTTTACACCAACTATCTGACGTTAAATTTCTTTCGATAAAAAATGGCCCAATTAAATAAGTACCTACTATAACTGACCATACATCCTACAGCATACACAAGGAATAATATGAGGAAAATAGCAATACCGTACATAAAAGGATTATCAGAAAAACTTAAAAGGATAGGAAATAAATTCAACATTTCAACAACAAATGAAATGAGGTTGAATGCTCGAATAAATGAACTTTGAAAATAAGGCTATTATCGAGTATAAGTTAATTAAATCTAGCCAAGTACTTTCGCTCAAAATAGCATCTTCAGGGGCATCTGAAATAAGCCAAGAAAACGTTTTTTAGATGAAGTAAATTAGTTAACTTCGATAAAAAACTCGAAGTTAATGGATGAAAAAAAGGTTTTTGAGATTAACGTTTTAGACTTACTTCGTCAAAATGTGAACTATCCGGCAAGCGTTAGAATGTGCAAACATTAAAAATAACATAAATTGTACAAAACACTACACTAAAACGAGGACAAACAGTTTAAAATTACTTCTACGCTACATTCTCTGTCAGTATCTGGAGGGATAATGATCTGATAGTTCACATTTTGACGAAGTAAGTCTAAAACGTTAATCTCAAAAACTCTTTTCTTCATCCATTAACTTCGAGTTTTTTTATCGAAGTTAACTAATTTACTTCATCCAAAAAACGTTTTCTTGGCTTATTTCAGATGCCCTAAAGATGCTATTTTAAGCGAAAGTACTTGGGCTAGATTTAATTAACTTGTGCTCGATAATAGCCTTATTTTCAAATTTCAACAACATTCAAAACAACAAACACGTTGAGATCTATTTTGTCCAAAACCAAACCTAACAATGAACAAGAAAGGACAAAGAATTGCATTTATAAAATACCTTGTGAATGCGATCAGTTTTATTTAGGTGAATCATCAAGGCCATGAAATGCAAGAATAAGTGAACATCAATCTTATATTAAAATTAGAGAATTTGATAGATCTCAAATATGTAAACACGCATGGGATAATGAACATAGGATTCAATGGAATAATTCAAATGTAGTCCTAAGAGAAACGGATGGTAAAAAAAGAAAAATCAAAGAAGCGGCTCTAATTATGCTAAATGAGGCCAATTGTGTCGCCAATTCCTCGGCAGAATGTAGTAGGATCTGGTTACCAATATTGAAAGAGGAAGTTATTAATAAGAAAATACCAGTATTAGTAAGTCAGTAACATATAGAGGATACATCATTTATGTTTTTTAAATAACGTAACATATAAAATCAGAATTTTGATGTTTGTTGAAGGTAAACTAAATTCACGAACAAATACTTACCATGTCAGGGATAGTATTATGAGGTTTTTTTTCCTGGTTTTTCCCTCATAATTTACTATGGAATCACTAACAGGAGAATTTTACTGTCATCATGTCATGTGTTTGTCTTTTTAAAGACGAATTACATGCTATGATTTTTTTCTGACGGATATTCTCAAGTTAAAGTTGATTTCATGTAATCAAATGAACTATCTTATAAGTAAAGTCATCCCAGGAGCGCAACTCAACAATATTGGCAATATCATTTTAAATGTCGTCTACTTTAAAATGCATAATGTATGTCTGAATTGTCAATATAAATGAGTCAGATAAAATTAAATTTATTAGAAGAATTTTTCACTATGTAACAAAGAAAACAAAATTTGTTTATTTTACTGTTTGTATTTTGAGAACGATTTCCGAAGTGGAAATTGAAACGTCAATAAACGTATTTTTATCTTTAATTGTGGCTTGTTTCTGGTAAGACACCAATAAATGTTAAATTTTGTTTTCCATTTTGTTTATTTTTTTAACTAACCTCTTTTTTGAGTTTTATTTGAAAAAGATATGTTTTTTATGTTTAATAATTATTTCCCTAGTTACAACTAGTGGTTGTAAGAGGTATAATTAGGCACCTCAAGGTGGCGCCCTATATTAAATTACTGGAGGTATTTCCTGTTTCTTTTTGCTTTGTTTATCCCAAGAAGTTCATTACTCTTTATTTCATTTTTTTGTAGTTGCCCCAATACAACCACCTTATTTTTTACTTATTTACGACCCCAGCTCTCCTAACAAACCCTGAGTGCCGTTCGCACAAGTAGCGTTTATTTTGCTTGCCCTATCTTTACCCCCATAATCTTACCCTGAGGTAGGCAAAATATTTTCGTTACAATATGTCTTAAATTAACTTTTGCAATTCTCTCATTTATTGATCCAGCTCTTCCTCTATAATTTGTATTTACCCTATTTCAGATTCACTTACATTATGACTTATGCATATCTCAGAAAAAATTACATCGTACTATTTATTCATATAAATGAAATTCTAGACCAAATAGTATGAAATGTAGGTGGTATAATTTAACACTTCCTCATGAAATAATATTTTTTTCATTATAACCCAGTTTCATAAACTTACATACATAACAAATGACCTACCTGCTTAGACATCCGAAGACTATAAATAAAATCAGTAATGGTAATGAATATTATGTTTAACTATCCACTAACTCGTAATAGGATACAGGTTTGTAAGTATTAATTACATTTTCTTTAGTCTTCTACACACATGACACATATAAAAAAACTTAAGTTTTTTCCCGCGTCGCCGTCGTTGAATGACGACAAATTATTCAAGCAAGAATACAATCTTGTTATAACGTAGGTTATAGATGTCACGAAAGTTTTTGAAACATTTTATCAATGTAAAATTTAGAATAATTGCTGTATAATCTAGATACCATGACAAACAAACTTTCCTTTAAATTAGAGATTATGTTGACACTTGTTAAAGTAAAATAATTTGTGCTACAGACAGTGACTTAATTCGTCATCATCAATCAGCCAATCGCATCCACTGCTGGACATAGGCTTTCTTCAGTTCTTTGCAGTGTTCTCTACACTGGGCAGCTTGTAGCCAGTTTCCCGCTACATGTTTTATATCATCGGTCCATCTAGTCCTCGGCTTCTTTTATAGTTTCTGAGCCTCCATTCCATAATACGTCTTGTCCACCGTCCATCTTGTGTTCTGGCTAAGTGCCCCGCCCAGTTCCACTTCGTCGTGGTTTTTTCGATGACGTCTTACACTCCTGATCTTTGTCTGATTTGTTGCTCGAAGGCTCACGTTCAGCATTGCACGTTCCATGGCTCGTTGTGTAACTCTGAGTTTATTCGCAGATTTTTGCGTGAGTTTTAAAGTCTCTGCTCCATACGTTTGTACAGGCAAAACACATTGGTTATAAACCTTTCGCTTGAGACACATGGGAATTGAACTTGAGACACATGGTGAATTCAGGAGAGGATTCACTCCCCGCCTCTCGACGCGTTAGTGTTCTGAGCTGTTGGACGTGAATCCCTGTCCTGGCATTTGGTTTTCACCTCTGGCTGCGTTGAGTAGTTGAGTTACTGTGACCAAATGCCCATCTTGGTAGTTAGTATTCGCCTCTGGTTGCGTTGAGTAACTGAGTTACCGTTGCTAACTACCCATCTTCCTGTCTTTTGTTTTCTTTTTCTTTTTCCTTTGTTCTCCTGAAGAAGCTACATACAATTGTAGCGAAACGTCGAGATGAACCCACTTTTGGGTCACTCACAAATGACACGGTCCAAACCCGGAAGACGAATAAATTATAATTCTGACTCTGGCCGTGGAAGCCTACGATCTCATTTAAACATATATACTATCAATTTTAATTAAATAAAACATGAAATGCACCCTAATGGTGACTTTTTCACATCTTTGGGATGAACCATTCAAAAGTTACGCTAGAAAATGATCAAAGTCACCCGTTCTACCGTAATAATTGTAATTTTAGCATTTAATTTTCCGTACCGGAGACCTGCGGATGCGTAGTAAATTGTAGTATGCAAAACCATGTCATCCGAGATAAAATAATTTGATTGTCAAGTCGTTTTATTTATTTTTCTTTACCTAAATTAAAACGGACTCATATATGCAACACTTCTTCTTTTTTTGGCATCATAACCCTGGATATGTCTTTGCCTGTCTGGCTATGTCTTTCCATTCAGATCTCTCTTGTGCCCTTCTTCTCCATTGTCTTATGTTCATTGTTTTCAGGTCGTCTTCCACGTCATCCAAACATCTCGTTCTGGGCCTTCCTTTTTTTCGCCTTCCTATGGGCTTCCATTGTAACATTTTCTTTGTTGTTTTTGCATCGTTTTGTCTCTGCACATGTCGCAGCCATGACAGTCTTTGACTTTTCACAAATCTTACAATGTCATAACCTTCATTTAACTCATTAACCTCGTCGTTTCTGCTGATTCTCCATGTGCCATCTTCCTCTTGTACCGGGCCATATACTTTCCTCAGTATTTTTCTCTCGAAATATGCAACACACTCAACATTTTAATGTAACAGATATTGAGAAGTCTAGATTTTAATGTATAAATTAAATGTTTGTATTATGATTTTGATTATAAGTGTAGACTGAACGAAAAATGTAAAACTCAAGTATATAAACTATCCGCTAGTTCTGTTGTCAGTTTATTGAATTTGTTATCTGAAAAACATTGTTCTCCATAAATTTCGCGACTTTCGCTACAATATTAAACATTGAATTACATTTTATGTATATCATTAACATATATCTTTTTCTTTGTAGAGCTCACGTACAAAGTTGGAAGAGGCACGTCGATATTCTTGTAGCAACCTGAACACCTCACTGTATAATTCAATACGAAGATCTTCATTTTGTTCGAGTAGGATTAGCGAGATTCCAGTGGAAAATATGGTCAATCAATCTAAGTTAGAAACATTACAGTGGCAACTAAAAGAAGTAAGTTTAGTTAAAAGAGAATAAATGTTTGACTATATCTTATTTTATTCAATATAATAAATATTGGGTGGTCCAGAAAGTAAGGAACGTTTTGGTATAAAAAATTAAAAACGAAAGTATCAACAAAAAACTTTATTGACAAACTCACAGTACCATATCCTATTTATTGTATCTTAGAATCAGTTTAGCAAGCAATTTAAGTAAACCTAGACTGTGAGACATGTTGAACCCCTAAGAACTACGTTTGTGTGTAACAATTATCTGGGTACATTTGCCCCTTCTCTAAAGATGTTATTGGGGGCTGCTTGTATTTTCTTTTTATTTGAATTGCTATGTGTCCTCGTGCGAGGAGAATTGGAAGTATGATGTTGTTTATCAGTCTCATATTCGTCTTTATGCGCAGTTTGCCTTTTTTTTTTTTTCTTATGAGTCCTCTTATAGCTGCTATGGCTGTTGCTGTTTTTTGGATGGTTATGTCCACGTGTTGCTTAAAGGTTAAGCCTTGATCCATAGTAACTCCTAGTATTTCGCTTCTCTTTTTCCATTCAATGGGATTATCTTGCACTAACAGCTGTTCCTCTAGGGTTTCTCTTTTCTTTTTAAATATGATTGCTTGTGTCTTTTCTGAATTGATTGCTATTTTCGATTGGATACACCATTCTTCAATGTTATACAATGCTGTCTGTAGATTGTTGACCGCTATTTTCAAGTTTCTGTGTTTGGCCGCAATTGCTGTGTCGTCTGCATAAAGGCTGAGTAGTGTGCCTGGTGTTCTTGGAACATCTGCGGTGTATATTGTGTTCAGTAGAGGTGACAGCACTGCTCCCTGTTGTACTCCAACCTTCGGAGCTCCATGCTCAGATAGTACTTGTTCTGTTAAAATGCCTGAGCCACCAAAATACCAGGGTAAAAACCCTTTAAATTACATGTAGTTATTAAAGATTGTACATATTGTTGTTATAAAACTGTGATGTTAAATATTAAATTGAATTGGACTTCAGGTAACATGCTTGAAGTGAGTTCCAGTGTCCGGAGAATAAACCTCTTCAAACGGACTACAGCTCAATTACCAGCTGTATGGCTCAATTACCAGCTGTTATAGATGCAATCTCAAGTATTTGACAACTGCATTTATAGGAATGGGAGTATTATTGGTGCTGCGACTGCAGCTGCAAGATGCTCTGCGAATACTGTCGTTTTTTCTGCGTTTGTACAGACCCAGACCATATCTGTTTTTCAAAGGTGAATTTGTTATTGTCGGTCGTTTAAATTTTTTTGTATCCTTTGCATTTGTTGCCTAAAGATGGCAATTCTGTCCAAAGGTACGTAAGTCCTGGCTTAGGTATTTTGTGAATTTGTTTTGGATTAGTAAATTGATCATAAACTGTACATTAGTAATCTACTGATCATTTTATTATTCAAGTGGAAGCATAAACGACTCATATTGTCCGATGAGTCTATTAAATTTAAGAAAAATAGTTGGTCACAGTACTTGTAGGCAGATTATATAAACTATCACCTAAAAGATGAAATTTTTTTATTTCATTTCGAATATTTTTATTTTATTTAATTATTTACAGATTCAAAAAAGTAGAGAGATGTACAGAGCCGTTATGAAACAAGTGGTAACGTATCTGGAGAAAGCTCATCACAGTTTGGAACTTTTGGGAAGTAGGATAAATAGAAGAAATTCAGTTCACCGATCGCGAAGTGAACACCAAATGGAAGTAAGTCGAATAAGTGATAATTCCACTTTGCTGGCAGGAGTTCATAATCAATCCAAGACGATAGATGAGCACAAGTTAAAGGATCTGCAGTGGTAAGTCAGTTTCATTAACAGAAAGTTAAGTCCAGGAGATTGTCTTTCGCGCAAATCAAATATTATTGTTTAGAGCTAGTTTAGCTTTCCTCATGGACCTAGTTTAGAGCCCTCGTGAGTTTAAAGTAGACTAAAAGACAAGCTCAAAAATAAAAAAAAAAAAACTTAAGCTCTGCTTGTGCTTTTCACAGCTGGAAGTGGAAGTTAAAATAAACAAAGTATGCCGACATTATCTACGTAGAAAAGCATAAATTGAGAACTGATAACTAATCTTCCAGATTTAACACATAAAAGGAAAAATTCCAGTAAATTTCAAATGTAAAAATAGGAAGTATATTGTATATTGAAAATCCCTACGTGAAGCCGTCCGTACGGCACAAGATCGCAGCCAATGAAGGCAGCAATATTTAGAGTGTCACCACGCCCTGACAAGAGCTCAAGGTATGAGGGAAAGAATATATATAATATTGTAACTTGTTTAAATAAAACGAGCGGTTCGAATTTATGTAAATATATTTATTTATAAGTTTATAGTTCGGTAATATCTTAACAACTAAACTAACTCATGACATCGTTACATTTATATACCAAAAGTATTATTCTAGAATCTTCTTGAGTAGCCCACCTCTAATTCCTTGTTTGACAGGTCGGTTTTTCCTACGTTCGAGACATCTGTGGAAGGTTCTCGATGCCTTTTCGAGATTCAACCGTTACATGGACCATGCCGATAGCATGTTCGTACCAATATATATGTATATATAATATATATTATTATTATTTTATGAGTTTTCTTGAACCGTACAATATATAATATAAAATTAGTATTTCTTCAGGTTCAATAGGTTCTAGGTTCAATAAAATATATTAAATTTGGGACTAGATTTTATTGTCCATTGAAATTAACATTTCGGCAGGAAACCCTTGCCTTTGTCAAGATTCTAAAATATACAAGATTAGGAACAAAAAATCATTGTAAAATATGTAAGACTTACCAAAACGTAAAACGGGACACTAGCATTAATGAATTGACAAGTAAAAATTGATATCTAGTATCTCGTGGTTTATAACTATCATTAGTATATAATTATTTTTATATGGGCGTCTCATTGGTGTTTTCGAAAAAAGTAAAGTGGAGATATGTTATGACTTTTTTTGTTATGAGTTTTTTATGATGTTATATTTATTAATATTTAAGTCAGCTTGAAATATATTTTATTTAGGTTCTGTGTATCTTTTTTGCCATTGATTACGTTGGTATTTCTTTTTATTTCTATTGATTCTTATATCTCCCTCTTCTTTTTGTTTTGTTTGGCTTTTAAAAATTTTATGTTTTCGAAGTCAAATTAATGCTTCTTCTCATTTTCATGTTTTGTGAGCGCAGTGATGTTGTTCTTGTCATATTTGTGAGAACGAATTCTGGATTGAAGCAGTTGACTGGTTTGCCCGATATAGACACCTTCACAGTTAATACATGATACCTCGTAAACAACATGTGATTTTTTGAGCGTTTTGAGTGTTTGTGTTTTTAGTTAAGTGAAATATTTATTTAAAAGGTTGTTGCCTTTGTGAGCCACTGGTATGTTATATTTGGCTAAGAGATTTGTTAAGTGTTCGGATAAACCTTTTATATATGGAAAAGTTGTATAAATAATTTTGATACTGTTGGGTTGATTGTTATTTGTATTATTGTAAAATTTATTAAGTCTTGATTTCAAAATGGTTTCCATTAGATGTTCGAGATATGCATTATTTAGATGGGCATTTTTGCTTTAACTACCTAACCTAACTAACGCAATCAATGCCTAAAAAGATACACAGAACCTAAATAAAATTATTAGGGCATTCAAATTCATAGGAAAAACCTGTTTCCTTCATAGTGTGAATAAATAAAATATGCACGAGAATGGTACCTATAGTCTTTTGCATCGGTTTTTTAAAAACAAACCCCTGGGGAATTTAGCAGGAAGCTAATTATAGAGGTCCATTGTTATTTTGTTTATCGAACACAAAATTGGGAAAGTCAATTTTGAGAATTCCGGTATTTGTTTGGATTTAGAAGTACTAAAGAATTTATTTAAAGAAATTAGGTTTGTACGAGAAATTTGGATATTTGATGGGTTTGGAAGCCAAGAAAAATGGTTATATGTTGCTGAACTTAATAGTGAGATCATCGAATCCTTAAAAGTGATTTATTGCCGAAAGTAATTAGTGAATAAGAGTTAAAAAGTGTTAGCAGTTTAGCAACCATAACTGAGCTTCTTCGATAGGTTATTCTGTTGGCAATATTGCATTGGGCAAATCATTCTCCTTGTATGCGACTGTCTGGTGTCTTCAAACAAAGTCTGGACTCATCCGGAAATAAAAATTATTCCAATTTGCGTAATTTCAATTTTTGTGTTCCCTTTCAAAAACAATTCGAGCTCTGCAGTGTTCCACGGATGGTAGTCTGTTCTACTTCTGGATAATAAATTCGCTTCATAAATTCGTTGACGAACTGTCCATCTACTTACATCCACATGTCTTCATTTGTTTAATCGATTTGCCAGCTCAAGTGAACTTAGGACCAAGGAACCAAAAATCGATCTTTGCGTGGATCTCCTACGGCCTGATCCTCACCTTCTAGTATAGTTGCCATATTGATTAAACCGGTGAATGGCTCTTTGACCAGCACAATGACTTAAACGTAGCACCTGGGCTGCTTAATATTGGCTACGAACAGCTTGCTTTCCAGCTACGGCGCTTACAGCATCCGTTGCTGTTAATGTCATTTTAATACAATTAAAAATTCTAATCTTAAAACATTTGAATACCGAATTCGTCTGGTTGTTAAAATCAGTAGGAAAACAAATTAATTTTTTTGCCGCTTGTGCACCTGAGTGTATATATAAATTATTATAATTATTTATAGGAAGCAATCAAAGCCAGAAGAACCCTCTCCAGACGAAATTCCTCCAGACAAACTAGCCCAAGAAGCGTTCCGACTCCTCCGGACTGCTCAATCGTTGTTGAACACCCGAGAGCCGGACTTGGTGCAAATTTCTACCTGCGAACCCTCCAACGACATCGAATTCCTCGAACAGCTCGCCAAAGAATTTCCACCTCCAGAAATCAAGGCACAACGTGCTACGTCATTTTCGCTCAGCCCGAAACTGATAATGCCGGAGGTCGAGACGAAAATTTCGACAGCGTTTAATAGGTAAGTTATATTTGATGTAACTACCACGAATGGTTTGTAACTATTCCATAAGAAATATGTATACAGATTGAACGAAATAAATTCGGAACATAGGAATATAATGTATTTCGGCTCAATTCTGCTGTAGATGGTTGGCCAACAAAAGATTGTCAAATAATTATGTTATAAAATTCCCATACTTCAGCGGGCTGCTGGATTCTGAACTCATAAAAATTGAAAGCTACACATAAATCTACGATTTATGCTGTCAAACCAGATATAGTCCAGGAAATGAAGTATTTCACCTCGCAATTTTTTCGTGCCTCGTGGATTGACTTGAAATTTAACAGAAGGTAGGTAATAGTCTAAGGATCAAAATCTATATCAAACCAAAGTGCGCCAAAGCCTAGGGGGTGGTTGCCACCCCATCTCCTTGGTGAAAATTTTTTTTACGTTTTAACTACAGGTTTCGATTAAAAAAGTGATTCTAAACAAAAAATGTGCTATACATTTTTTTTATAAAATGATATTTTTCAAGTTATTCGCGATTGAAAGTAACAACTTCTAGACGTAAAAATCCATGTTTTTAATCGATTTTTCGCGAATAACTCGAAAATGGTGCATTTTATCAAAAAAATTGTAGAGAACAAATTTGTAGCTTTTAAAAAGACAAATACAATTGATTTTTTAAAATGTTTTTGCGATATAATAGGAACCAAAATACGGCCTATCAATGTTCAGCGGTTTTCTTCAAATGCCAAATTTGAAAGATTCAAATTCAAATAAGTATCGGGAAAATGATGCATTTTTGGAAGAAAACTCACAAAACCTTTTTTAAAGAGCATAAATAGACATATCATAAAAAAAGACTCTAGCTCAAAAATTGAGTGAGTTATGATGAAAATAAGGTCAATACCTCATTTTTTACAAAAAAACCGATGAAAACAACCCCCTAACCACCCCCATAATTAAAATCGATCTTCACCCTTCTGCAATTCCCTTTGTACATGTATTGTTAATACGTCCAAGAAGTTTGACCCATTTAAAATGCTTTGTGTTAGAAAAAGTACAGCTTAAAGCGAGAAACGATTTACAATTTCATATTTTTTACCCTTCTTTTTTTAAATATGCCCGAAAATACTGAATATATGAAAAAAATAAAAATTACCAAATTGTAGCTTTTTTAATGACTAAAATTATCCTTTATTTAGATTTGTTGTACAATGAATATTTGGCGAGATATAGCCGTTTAAAGCATCGATTTACGATCAAGCACGATCTTTTTCGAGTCCTTTAAACTCACCCCATTTAAAAACCAAGGGTTCCAAAAAGATTTAATTCACAGATCCTTGTAGCTCTTAAAAACCTCAACAAATCGTTTTTGAAGAAACACTCTATCGTTAAAAATTAAAGGAAATACGTTAAAAAAAAAACAGTGAATTTTTTTCCGGAAAATTCCATTAGTATAGTACAGTACATTTCGGAGCATAATAATCTACAAATCCGGTATAGGTATAGCTAGTGGGGCGTTATACATTCGAAATTTTAAGCGTTCTAATTTTGAAATCCCATACAACAGAATAAAACATCTGCTCATATGTCTATGGCTTGGCAATGAAAATATCAGAGCAACAGATTGCGGATGGTATTCCAAAGATGGTTTGTTATTACCCGTACGCATGAACAAACAACCTGCACTCGATGAACTTTTGAAAATTATTTTTTGCCAATGCAAAAAAGGATGCGGTGTTTTATGTGGGTGCAGAAAAGTTGGTTTATACTGTAACTCTACTTGTTCTGGGTGCTCAGGTGAAGGGTGCAATAATAGTCCACCAATAATTGAAGATGAGGATGACATAGATCACGATGAAGATGTAATTGATGACGAATAAGATTAATATTATAATTGTTTTACCTATAAATGTAAATATTTTCAACTATTTATGTAAATGTATAAGAATATATGGTGCCTTTTTATGTTGATAAATTTTTTTGTATTTAATTCTACTTTTTTCAATTTATATCTTATAAATTAGTTTATAAAAACTGCAATGTTGTAAAGGGTGATTTTCAAAAGTTGAAAAGTTGCAAAATTTTGGCAAAAAATTGTTTTCACCGATAGCACTCATAACAATTGATTTTTAAGGGTTCAAAATGTATGAATTTGTATTTTAAAGTATAAAAAAATCACTATTTAACTAATCCTAACCAAATTTCACTCATCTTAAGATTTATAATATTATTTTACAATTTTTGAAAATTAGGGGTAGTTTTCACCCCTAAGAACAATCAGGGTTCATCGGCATGACATAAACTATAAAGCAGAGGGTGAGTTGAGCTTAATTCCAAATTGTTATGCAAATCGTTCCAAGGTGAAATCATTTTCTTCGCATTACTAGTTTTTTTATATTAATCTCTAATAAGGGTCGCTTTTTAAGGGCTGAAATATGATGGAACTTTATTCAAAAGCACGAAACTATCATTATTTAATTAATTCAAACCAAATTTCAAACCCATATTCAGGTTTAATATGTTATTTTATAATTTTTGACAATTAGGGGTAGTTTTCACTCCTAAGAACAATCAGGGTTCGTCGACATGACATAAACTATAAAGCAGCAGGTGAATTGAGCTTAAATCCAAATTTTTATCCAAATCGATCCAAGGCGAAATCATTTTTTTAGAATTAGTAATTTTTTTACATTAATCTCTAACAAGGGTTGCTTTTTAAGGGTTGAAATATGATGGAACTCTATTCAAAAGTATAAAATAATTATGTGACTAATTCAAACCAAATCTTACCCATATTCAGGTTTAATATATTATTTTATAATTTTTGACAATTAGGGGTAGTTTTCACCCCTAAAACCCTTCAGCGCACTTCGGTTCGATATAGATTTTGATACTTGGGCTATCACCTACCTTCTGTTAAAATTTCAACTGGATACATGCAGGACGAAAAAATTGCGAGGTTTTAACTTTTTTCGAGCTTAATTTCCTGAACTATTGTCGTTTCCTTAGACAAACCCGTCTTACGCAAACAACATTGTTGTGAGACAGATAGTTGAACGATATTTTATACAATGTCTATACCCAGGTATGGATTTATTTTTGTCCAAGTTTTATATTGGTCCACTATTTCAAATGCAGTTCAAACAGACATGTATTTATTAAATTGTTTGTTCCGTTTTAATTTGGTTCAATCTGTATATAGAAATATAAGTTGCACTTAGATTTCTCAAAAAATCTTTATTTTCGAAAATAAGGTTACAATTTACTACAAACTACAAAAACAATTACTAATTCTACATACGCTGGTGACTTGACAATACCTCCTAAGTGATGTCAAACACTTTTTTCAGGAGAAACAAAAAACTGATTAAATCGTTACTAAAAATATAAGGACTTTTTTATTATTTTTAAAGTCAGTGGTTTAAATAATATAAGCTATAACGTTGTTTTGAAATAAAATAGTAGAATTGTTAAATTATGTATTTATTAGGACACTTATTAGGATGTCAAAGACACTTGATATAATAAAAAACATTGCTAACTTTTCTTTTTTAATTTAAAAAATTATTTCTTACAACTTAAAACAAAAAAAAATAATAGAAACAAGTTTGTTTTAGGGTATTTTGTTAAATATGCACATATATTTTTTAAAATAATGATTCGGAACTGATGTTGCCACTTTTCAGACTTAATTTTGCATGGTCCTTTTAACAATTTGGGATATTTCAATATTGTTGGCATAGTTTTTGGTCTACATGGGAGTTCTTCATATTCATCCTCATAATCTAATTTTACTCTTATAGTGCCGCATGGATCATATTGAATACTCTTGATGTCATTGATTAGTGGATCGTTGGTTTTTCTTCCAGGCCCAATAGAAGAGTATCTTAAATACTTAGAGGAGGAGAAATGTTTGAAAAAATGAAGATTCCAGCAGTCGAGTTCTGTAAGGGGCAGGAGTTTTTCTCGCTTCCTTCGTTACTGACTCATAATCGCTAGGCAAATGGATTTCTCTATGCCTAAGACATCTTTCTATAAAGCTATGTACCGAATCACACTCCATCTGAGTGTGACCCGGCTCAAGAAATTTTTGATATACAAAGATATTGTATCTCATAGCAAAATTTAATAGTGCATTAGCTAAAACACTGTTTCTGTTCTGATATCCACATCCATCGGAGAACATCACGATTGGTGTTTTAGAATCAGTCAAGGAATACATCTTCAAGTAATGCGTAATGCAACTTGTAAATGTTGATGCTTTCATTATATTATTCTGATATTTAGAGAACCAGTAACAGAGGGCATCTTTTGTCCTAAGGTCATACACTGTAAAATTGTGACAACAGAGCTTTGTTTTGAAATATATTTTATTAGCGGGAAGAAAAGGACATAACTTGACTGCCTGCAGATCCATTGTAACGACTATTAGATTGCCTTTTTCCGCTTCCTCTTTATCAGTATTCTTAGCTTGTCTCGAAAGATCTTTCCTTTTTATATGCAACTGATAGTCGTCTTCGGAAATATTTCCATATTTAAACGAAAAACAAGTATTACATTGGTCTTTTTTCGGCTTGTGTAGTGACAAGTTCCTCTCTTTAAACTTCTTAGAAAAAACATTTCTTCTCAATTGAGTTACTTTTTTGTCTTTGCAAAAGTCATGACAGTAGACACTGTAAAGGTGAGCCATGTTTTGAAAGGTGTTTTCCAGGTACAGTTTAAGAGTATCTCGACGACAGTAATGAGATGGAAGTTTGGGTAATGATTCAAAAAAGTTATTTAATAATCCATAGTCCGTATCGAATCTCCTTCTTACGTATTCCTTGGTGGTTATGCTTGTAGAAGCTTCTTTACTCATTCCAAATTTGCTGTTGTCGATCCAAGCTTGAACCGTTTTGTAGCCAAGATCTAGTGTATTTAAGAATATGGTACGACAAACTTCAAGATTTTCGTTTGCATCATTTAAATAATAATGTTATGTGTCTAATCTCCTGGAATTTTCTTTGGTTTTCG